ACAGGCACACGCACACAGGCACAGGCACACGCACACGCACACGCACACGCACACAACACACAACACACAACACACAACACACAACACACAACACACAACACACACACATGCACACGCACACGCACACGCACACACGCACACGCGCACACGCACACGCACACGCACACGCGTCGCACACGCACGCACACAACATTCAACACAAACACACACACACACGCACACGCACAACACGCACACGCACACGCACACGCACACCCGCACACGCACACGCACGCGCACGCACACGCACGCAACACACAACACAACCACACACACACACGCACGCACACGCACGCACACGCACACAGCACACAGCACGCAAAACGCACACACACACAAACGCACATGCACACGCACACGCACACGCACACACATTCACGCACTTTCTCTCTCTCGCACACACACACACGCGCACACGCACACGAACACGCACACGCACACGGCGTAGCAGTCTCGCTGTTTTGCGCCCCCCCCCCCTCGGCACGGGCGTGCTAAGTGGCTTGGGTTGGGGTGCGGTCCTGGGTGGGCCCTGGGGGCGCAGCCCCTGGCACGGCGGCCCGGCGCAGGTGAGGACGGCCCCCCCGAGTGCGGCTCGAGGGAGTTGCGCACGGGCCAGACGACGCACCAAAGCACCAGCGCACCAAATCACACGCACGCACACGCACACGCCCACACACGCACACGCACACAACACGCAACACAAACACACACGCACACGCACAGCGCACACACACACACACACACGCACACACACACGCCACACTCACACACACACACACACGCACGCACCCGCACCCCCCGCCACACGCACACACACACACGCACCACGCACACGACAACACCCCATCGCACCACAACGCACAACCTTACGCACACGCACACGCACTCGCCGACACACACACGCACATACGCACACCGCACAAGGACGCACACACACACACACAACCACACACACAACGCACACGCACACAGCACACACCCTCGCACAACACTCACACACACACACCGCACACGCCACAACACACGCACACGCACACAACCCACAACACCCAGCATAGCACACGCACACGCACACCACACAGTTCGCACACGCCACAGCACACTCTCACTGCACGCAACACGCACCGCACGAACAACACACAACACCCAACGCACGCACAAACACACACACACACACGCACGCGCACACGCACACGCGCACACGCACACGCACACGCACACGCACAGCGCACACACGCACACGCATAGGAACACGCACGCGCGCACGCACACAGGCACACGCACACGCACACAAGCACACGGCCACGCACACGCACTCACACAACACAAACACAGGCACACACACACTAACACACACACGCACACGCACACGCACACGCACACGCACACGCACATGCACACACACGCGCGCAAACGCACACGCACACGCACACGCACGCGCGCAAACGCACACGCACACAACACAAGCACGCACACACACACACATACACACACTCGGCACACACACACACAACACGCCCACGCACGACTCACTCCCATCCGCAGACCGACAGGCATCACGCACACGCAAACACGCAAATCGCACACCAAACTCACACGCAACGCACTACGCATACGCCCACACACAAACACCACAATCCACCGCACAACCACACACACCACACTCACACATCACACACTCCACCCACACACACACGACGCACGACACCACCACACAAGACACACACGCACACGCAACACGACACGCACACCCACATGCACACTCAAAGCACATACGCACACGCACAAGCACACGCACACGCCACGCACTCGCACAAAATCAGCTCACGCCACACGCCCAACACGCCACAATAACACACACGCACACGCACACGCACACGCACACACACCCACACACACGCACAACGCACACGCACACGCACAACGCACACGAACACACACCACTACACGCACACAACACACGCACACACACACACACACACACGGCGCACGCGCAAACGCACACGCACACGCACACGCACACGCACACACTCACACACGCACACACTCGCACCAAACTAACACACGCACACGCACACACACACACACACACACACACACACACACCACACGCGCACACTCACAGCTCACACGCCCACAGGCACACCACATCCGCACACCACACACACACAACAACAACACACAACACACACGCACACACACACACACACACGCACGCACACGCACACACACAACACACACACACACGCACGCACACGCACTCGCACACGCACACGCACACGCACACACGCACACACACGCACACACGCACACGCACACGCACGCGCACGCGCACGCGCACGCACACGCACACAGCACACAGCATACACACACACACGCACACGCACACGCACACGACACAAACACAGACACCGACACACACACACACACACACGCACACACACATCCGACGGCCTCCGAGGAATCGCCGAGCCCGTCCAAAGCTATCCGAGCAGACATCGGAGGGTGCGCAAGGGATCGGTGAAAGCCTTCGAGGAGTCGCCGACGAGGAATCGCCGAGACCCTCCGAAGGCCACTCGAACTGGCGGCGGGCGGAGGCGGAGACGGCGGCGGCGACGACGGCGTCGACGACGACGGCAGCGACGGCGGCGGCAGCAGCGGTCGTGACGACAGCGGCGGCCACGGCCGCGGCTACGATGGGGCTGGCGGCGGCCGGGCGGCCGGCGGCCGCGTCGGCGGGCGCGGCGGCCGTTTGCCCGCGCAGCGGGAGGGGGCGAGGAGCTGGCGCCCCGCGCGGCGACCTCTGCGCGGCGTGTTGCGCCGGGCCCCTGGAGCCCCGCCGCGGCCGCCGCCGTCGCCCGTCGCGTGGCCGCGGCCGCCGGCGTTGCCGTCGCGGCAGCCGTCGTTGCGGCCGACGTCGTCGCGGCCGCCGTCGTCGCGCCCGCCGTCGTCGCGGCCGCTGTCGCGGCCGCTGCTGTCGCCGTCGCCGTCGTCGAGCAGGCGCCCCCGCCGTCGTCGATGTCCATGGTCTTCGACGGCATTCGAAAGTGTTCGACGGTTGTCGAATACTCTTTGTAGGCCCTTGGAAGTTCCCGAGCGTCCTTGGGGTCGTCATCGTCGTGTTCGTCGCCGTCGTGTTTGTCGTCGTTGCTCTCGTCGTCGTCGTCGTCGCAGAGGAGGAGGCAGAGGCGCGGCCAGGAGGAGGGCTGGTCGACTGGCGTGTGCACCACCCTTTTGGTTACGCGGCCGGCGGCGGCGAGAAGGGAGTAGTTGTCTACCGAAGGTGGGCAGCGAGCGGGGCGAGAAGACACCTCGCCACGCTCGCGAGGAGGCAGGGGCTGCTGTTCGGCAGATGCAATGGGGCCGATGGCCCCAAGGAGCAGATCATGAGGATGGCGAAGGGCCCCACCCGCTGCCCTCAAGGAAGAAAGAGAGGTGCAAGTTCGGGCAGGAGCTATGGGAGGGCTCCGAGCAGGAGCTGCTGTTGGCAGGTGGCGAGAGAGCCGAGGAGGCACCATCAAAGACGCGGCGCGAGCAACAAGGAGGAGTGCAAGGGTACGGCCAAGAGGTGAGGTTTCGCACGCTGGTCGACGTGGTCAAGGCCTACGGAGTAGGCGAGGACGAGCTGCTCGAGCTGGGCGACAAGGCGGAGACCGCCGCGGCGCTGAGGGCTCGTGAGGCAGGCGAAAGGAGGGAGGCCCAGGAACGCCTGGGGCAGGACATTGAGCCGAGGAAAAGGAGGAGGCGGGCTGACAGCCTGTGAGCAGGCGGCCAGGCCCAGAGGGAGCCTCGCCGCCTCCCCCATAAGGCCGCGATGCGGGAAGCCGCAGAGGCCAGAGGTCAGCCTCCGAGGAGACAGAGGCGCCCTGGCGGGCGTGGGCGGCCGCGCGCGCCTCACGCGCGGGCGCTCGGCGCGGGCCCGAGAAACTCGGCCCGCGCCACAATCCGCAACGTCGTCGTCGTCGTCGTTTCCGATCGGGGATCAGGGTTTTTCTGTTGGCAATGATGGTCCACTTGGTCTGTAGAGTTCGTCGCGTTTGGCCTTGTCGTCGTCGGATCGCCAAGGCCACCCCAGCCGCATTCTTTCAATGAGGCCTGAAGGTTTCTCGGGAGGAGGGGCGGCGTGGAGCAGTGACCCTCCTCCTCCTCCTCCTCCTCCTCCTCCGCCTCCTCCTTCTCCTCCTCCTCCTCCATCCCCCCTACTCCTCCATCCCCCCTCCTTCCTCCCCCCTTCCCCTCCGCGTCCCCCCCCCGGAGGCCGAGCATCTTGAGTTGTTGCACGCAGGGCCCCTGGGAGTCCCGACCCGCTCCCCAGGGCCAGCGTTTCCTTCTGAGGCGATTCGGTTGCCAACCGCGGGCGCCGGTGAGGGCTCTCAGACGCCGGGAACGGCGGAGGCAGTGACGCCCTCGCGTTGGACTTTTACAGTGCGTAGGAGAGCCCGGGGGAGAGCGATGCGCGGAGCCGGACCCCCAGGATGACGCCGTCGAGCGGTCTTTGGTGCTCGTGTGCGGCCACAGGCGCGGTGGCGCGCCGCCCGCCCGCCGGGATCCGCGGGCCGCTCCATGCTTTTGCATCGCTCGGACGTGTGCAGCATTTCTCGGCGAGGACGATCGAGGAGCATCTTGGATCATCTTCCGAAACCAGGAACACGCACGAAATCGGGACATGCACGGGGAGTGGTCGTCCGAGCGATGGCAAGATACCTGATGCGGGCGGAACCCCCTTTCTCATCGATGGTCGAGGCTCGAGCCTCGTCTCCTTGCCTTGGAGCCAGCAGGGTGGTTGGAGGTGGGGCATCACCGGTTCCACGCGTCGGAAAGGAGGAGACACACCAAGTGTACACAGGGTTCGTCCCCTGTCCTGTCTGGGCCGCTTGTCCAGATAGGCAGTGAATACACTTGTTTTGTCACCGTGCCCCACCTCGCTGGTCTTGCTGCTGCCCATCCTGAGCAGTGTCTCCAGCCGCCTGAGATTCGAGGCTCGAGTCGCGTCGTTTCCTGCCCCCTCATCCCTCCAGGTTCGAGGTTCGAAGGCCTAAGATTCGTGCATCGCGGGGGTCGCCCTGCCGTCGGGCGCCTGGCAGCGTGTTACAGGCTCCGTCGTTTTTGCCCAGGGCCCTGGCATTTCTTCAACGCTGAGGCGCTGACGGGTTCTCTGCGGCGATGCACTGGTTTGCATTAGTGTGCATCGGTGGCGCGTTGCAGTGGCGCGCATCACGCTGCCAATGCAATGGCGAAGATATGTCATTGCGCCGCAACGCGGTACACCATACTGCACTGCGGTGCGTCTGCACAGTAATTCAGTGTTGCGCGCTTGCCTTTGCAACGTATTTTCATGCGCGTGCTAATGTGCAATTGTGTTTACATGTGTGCTGCGTTCGTTATGTGCCGTGATTCATTGTGTTGCATTGTTTTCGCGATGTGCACCACTGTGTTGCAGCAAATTTAATCATCCTTTGGAAATACACCCATTCGGGTCTTGCCAGGTTCTTTCTGTCTCAGGATCCCCCTCTGCCCCAAGGTGGGAGCCCGAACCAGCCTTCCGAAATGTCCCCACCAAACGGTGGAGGAGGAGGAGGAGGAGGAGGAGGAGGAGGAGGAGGAGCACGGAGGACTCACAGAGGAGAACAGGGGTCCTCTGGGAGAGCTGCGTTTTGCACCGTTTTCGGCAACTTGCTGGGACACATCGGGGTCGCACCAAAAGCAACTCAGGGCGAAAGCCTCGTCCGGGCGAAAAACCCGAGTCTGGCACACTTTTGCTTGAGGGCCCCTTGCAATCGGGGGTCTTGGAACGGTTTGGTGACGGACTGCGCGGGGACCTCGAAATCTCAAAAGACCTCAACGCGCGGTCCGTCACCGGGCGGTATGTCGGAGGCCCTGGTCGCCCGAGACGTCCGCGGACAGCGACCAAAGTCCCAAACCCGTGCGATGCACTGAGGAGACCGACCCGACTGTCAAAACCGTGCGGCGACCCCGAATTTTCACTGGAGGGCATTTTTTGCTCCCTGACGATCACGGGCATGACCGGGGGGGAGGGGCCGGCCTCGTCATGATTCGCGCCGGCGCCGTCTGGGAATGCTCAGGAGTGCCTGATTCCCACACGGCACTGGCGCGAATGGGGACGCGATCAGGGGCGGAGGAGGGGAGGGCGGGGCCAGTCACGGGCGCTATCGCGAATCATAGGAGCAGGCGGATGAGGAGGAGGAGGAGGAGAAGAAGGAGGAGGAGGAGGAGGAGAAGGAGGAGGAGGAGGAAGATGATGAGGAGGAGGAGGAGGAGGACGAGGACGAGGAGGAGGAGGAGGAAAAGAAGGAAGAGGAGGAGGAGGAGGAGGAGGAGGAGGAGGAGGACGAAGATGAGGAGGCGGAGGGGGAGAAGGCTCGGGTCGCGCGCGGCCGTTGCCCGGCCGCCTCCCTCCTCACCCGTTTTCCTACTTCCATTCAGCACCTTCCTGTCGCCCCTCACGCGATGGAGAGCGACTGGTCGTGGGCCGCGACGAGGAGGGGATGACGACGACATGATGGGGAACGACGAGGCGGCGGCGGCCGCGCCCCCCGGAGCAGCCCACCTTGGCGGCGCAGTCGGTGCCGCTGAGTTCCCCGGGGAACGCCGCGGACGCTGGTGGTGCCCCTCCCGCGCCGGCCCCAGTTCTCTGGGCCGCCTCACAAACCAAGGTGCGCGCGTGGACGGCGACCCTGCAGCTGGCGCGCCGGCGCGTGGCCCTCGAAGTACGTCTGGTGCGAGGGGTTCGGCCACTGAGACGTGCGGTTGGCCAGCCGTGCCAACCTCGATCGTTATTTCAGGCGCCCTGTCTGTATCCCAGAGGGTGTCCCCGCATCCACAGTGGAAGGCCTTGCGGCTCTGCCCGAGGAGGCGCGGGCGCACGTCCTAGCCTGCGTGGTGGGCGGCGCGGCCGGGGCGACGGCCGTGGGCCCGGCGGCGACCGCGCAGGAGGACGACCGCACGTTGGTGGACGATTTGGAGCCCCGCCGCACGGCAGCGGCTGAGAGGGGCAAGCTCCCTGGGCCCCCGTGGTGGGACATGTTGGACCTTGCAAGCGCGGTCCGCGAACCAGTGCCGACCTGGGCGGCTGTTCGTGGCAGCCTCGCGGCAGCCGCGGGCGACTTGCTGGCAGCCGCGCTCAAGGCTGTCGCTGCGCAGCCAGCCAGGGAGGGCGCTTGGGCGCGAGTGCTGCTCTTGCCGCGCCGGCTCTTCGCCATCCCTTCTAGTAGGGGTAATGACGAGCGGGGCGCCGCGTCTGCCACGAAGATTCTTACCGCGAGGATCCGGCAGGCGTGGGCGGGCGACTGGGCCCGCCTCTGGGTGGCGACGGCGCGCCCTAGCGACGACGACAGGCGGCCGACGGCCCCTTGATTTGGCGGCGCAGGCCCATCAGGCCGCGCTCGGTTGGCGGGCCGCGGGCACTCGCGCCGCCGCAGCCGCGGGCGGGCGATTGGGAGGAGGCGGAAGTGGCGCGATCCCTCAACGACAGGTTCCCGCGGCACTCAGGCCCAGGGTTCAGCGGCGCGCGCTTCGAGCATTGGGCAAACTTGCGCGGCCACGCGGAAAGCAAGGAGGCGCTGGTGGAGGTACCGAGCTGCACCCCGCGCAGCGAGGAGCCCGCGTCAGCGGCGCAGGCGCTGCTGCTGGGCGGCCGCCTGATCCCGCTCCAGAAGCCACCGGGCGGGCGCGGCCCCTTCGCCCGCTGGGAAGCGCTGCGCCGACTGGCGGCGAAGGCGGCGACGAAGCACCACGAGGAGCTCATCGCCCTGGCGGCGGGCCCGCGCCAGCACGGCGTGGGGCGGCGCAGCGGCGTCGAGCTGATGCACAAGTGGTGGTGGTTTGCGCTGCGGAGAGAGCTCCCACGAGGGCGGCGTTGTCGCTGGGCGTGGCGAACGCCTTCAACGAGGTGGACCGGGTCGTCGTCCTCCGCGAGGTCACGGGCCCCTCGCGCGCCTCGCAGCCGCGCGGCACGGAGGGGGCGCCACGCGCGACGCGCGCCTCTCGGGCGCTGTCACCGCGGTGACAGCAGAGCGGGGGGCTCGACCAGGGCTGCCCCTTCTCGCCGGCTTTTTCCGCCGCGGCCACGGCGACCTTTTGCGAGGACTTGGCGCGCGCGCTGCGGCGGGGCGCGCGGGCGCCATCGCGGCGGCGCGCCTGGGCGACGTCTGCCGCGCAGGCACGCCGGAGGCGCTCGCTGCGGCCGAGGCAGCCGCCCCGGAGCTCTTCGCATCGCGCGGGCTCGAACAGGAACAAGACCAGGGTGTGTAACCCGCGCGATTTGCAGCTGCCGGCGACCCTGGCGCGACGGAGACGTCCGAGCGCGCGCGCGGGCAGCCGCCTGCGCATCCTCGGCGGAGCCGCGGCCGAGGGCCTCGGCGACGACCCGGCGGCGCCAGCTTCGGCGCGACGGCCGCGCCAGAGACGGCGGCCCGGCATTTGGCGGCCTACAAGGCGGCGCCCCAGAAGCTGCGCGAGCGCGGCTTGAGAGCGCAGGGCGCTCGAGCCGCCCCCCCCCCCCCCCCCGTCCGCACCTTTGCCGGCGGAGCTGCCCTGCACCGCGCGCGAGCACACTGGCTCGGCGAGGTCTGGGGCAGCCCCGGACCGCGGCGGCGCGCGAGCAGGCATGCCTCGCCCTGGCAGGCGGGGGGCTGGACATGTGCGGCCTCGGGCAGCGGCGCCTGCCCCCCTTCGTGGGCCCCTGGCTGGCCTGCTGGGCCGAGGCGCGCCGCGGGCTCGGACTGCCGAGCCTTGGGGCTTCCGTCGCGGCCTGCCCCCCGGCCTGGACAACGGCGACAGAAGCGGGGCGCTCGGCGAGCGAGGGGAATGCGCAGCGGCGCCTCGCGAGGCCGGCGCAGGAGCGGCGACGCGCTCGCTCCTGCTCGCCTCCTTGCCGCCGCCAGAGCAGGCGAGCCTCCGCTCGGCCGGCGGGGAACGCGCCCGGGGCTGGCTACCCCCGCCCGCGGAGCCGGACCACGTCCTCGAGGAGGAGCACTTCCGCCTGGCGCTGGCACTGTGGCCCCGCTTGCCCCTGCCGCCGGAGGCCAGCGCAACTTGCCTACGGCGCCGCCCCGACAGCTCCTACTGCTGGGCCGACCTGCGCGCAGACCGCGGGCGTCCTCTGGGTTGCCCAATCGGGGGCGGCGCGGTTTTGAAGCGCGACGGCGCGCGGGACTGGCTCGCGCGCTGGCTGGCGGCGCGGGGGGCCGCTGGCTTGAAGGCGGAGCAGTTGGTCCCCGCCCGGGACAGGCCGCGCTTGGACGGCCCCCTCGAGGTCGCTCGGCTGGGCGCGGCCTTCACCGACCCGGTCGCTGGGGTCGCGCCCCGGCGCGGCGGTCGCCGGCGCTTGGGCGCGGGCGCAGCCGCCGGGCGGAGTCGCGTCGCGCGCGACGGGGCCGCGGCGGCAGCGGCGGAGACCCGCAAGCACTGGCGCCACTTCCGAGCACCTCAAGAGTTCCGGGGTGACCAACAGTCTGGGGGGGGGCCTGCAGTCCAGGGGTGGGGCCCTGCAGTCCGCG